TTTTACGCACTCGTCACTATTTACTTTAGTCTTTAATCAGTTTAATATCGCACTTACTACACTTAGTCTTTTAATTGGTTTAATAGTGCACCTCATTCGAGTTGCCCTTTAAATGGGGAAGAATGTACGAGTAAATAATTTTTGTTTTCCTCCTTGCATGGTTTCGTGTTGTAAATGAGGGTTTCTTAAAAACATTTTTCAGTCGCGACCTCTTTTTATCACTGAGATTTTTTCGCAACCCCTAAGACTCCATAATATTGTTACGAAATGTACAGGCTTGGTAAGATAGCTTCCCCGCAAAGCAGTTTTAGGGTTGCCATAAAATCACAAGGGAAGGCAGGGTTGCCACATTTGGCGAGAAATCGCCCATTTGGCGACAAAATTGGCGATATAGCATGGATGGAAGGAGAATCTTCTGGAAGTTCTTACCGGTTTAGCTAAGAATGTTCGCGAACACAAGCCGAAAGCTATATAAACTCTGCTGGTCCGCAGTCAGTTAGTGTGTCTCAGAGAGTGTGCCTCGTCTATCAAGCCGTGCGGAGTCGATCGAGTTGAAAGTCGGGCAACGAGTGCCGAGTGGATCGTCGAGTGCACCGAAGGAGTGTCTTAGAGTATCGTGGTTAGTGCATCGTCGAGAGAGCGTGTTGAGCTCCGGGAACGACTGAACCGAATAGTCAGGACCGTGCTTTGTGTGTCGTCGAGTGTATCGCGAGTTGTAGCGTGGAGAGTCTCGAGAGTACGTGGAGTTCCGAGAACGACCAACCAGAGTTAGGAGCTGTACTCTGGTGCTCTGCAGGAAGCTGTCTCCACCGTTATTGCCCGACAGTGTGAAGGCTGTGTCGCTGATTGTTCCAGCGTGTTTATAGTAGTTCATCGACGACTGTAAAACGTCAATGACGTTGACTGTAAACGTCAAACGTTGTCATGACAATACTGACTAATAAAGTGCGTTTCGATACTTCATCAAGTGTCGTCGGTATTCACTCCAAACCTACGAACTCCGTACGAACGTAACGACTGGTGTCAAAAGAAAAACGTAACAATATTTACAAAATTTTGGAGGTCGCCATAAGTATTGCCCACATCCGACACAAGCGTGACTGAAACTGTCAATTTTTTCACTTGTGCTGTAATATACTATTGCAGGTTTAGTTCATTAACTTTAATTTCTAATTTTAAGACATAGAACAATGCGAAAATTTTAAACAAGTAACAGACGAAATGACAGCGTCACGTGCAAAGCAAGGAACATGAACGTTTATATTATAAAAAGAATGCGTCGAAACCTTTTCGTTTTTTTCTTCGTCTGTATTGTCTTATTTTTATCTGTTTTCAGATACAATGTGTAAAAATATTTGATAATTGTAAAATTATTATAATAAGTTAAAGAAAGATCAAAACTGCTAAAATTCCTTGCTACCCTCTGCTGTAGGTCCCGCGACCCCATTTGGGGGTTGCGACCCACAGTTTAAGAAACCCTGGTGTAAATTATTAACATATCCAGATAATAAAGTAGAAGATCATGTTTTGAATCTGCGGTGACACAGTTTGATAATTCGCGTTTCTTGCACCAAAAACCTTAATATTCTATACAAGATAACTATTAAAACTGAATGAATAAAAAATTTTCTTTTGAGACGTACTGGGGATATTAATAATTGCTGACAATGAGAAAAAAGAAAAAAAAAAAAAAAAAAAAAAAAGGTAGAAATCGCATAGTCAAATGGGCAAAACGTATTCATAATTGAGAAGTCAGGCATAATATGGCTGAATAGCTTATCATTCTTTCCACTATCTTTCCATTGTCGTAGGTAGTGACTGAACTGCTCTGGATAATAAGGAGATTTATGGTGAAATTTGAGAGTATGCTTATAACAAAACAGTGATATTATCAGTTTTCATTTCGTTTTGGATCATGTTTTTATGAAGATGGAATAAGAAGCTTGCATATGTCTTAATTGTGATGTTTTCAGTAACCGGCTATATTTTAAATTCAGTTTTTGATATGAACGCTAAAACAGGCTTGCTGGTATCATTAAAAATGGGATATAGCAGATTTTTAACTCCAACTTCCACGTAGAAATTTCTTGCGAAAACGAGAGTGAAGAAATCAATTCTACTAACTGACAAGGTTAATATAATGACTTTATTAAATGAGAAATAGGTAATACATAAATTGGTTCTATTAGCACTAATGTTTCTGACCGTCGCCAACACAACTAATTTTTACGTAATTTAATGCAATAAAGTACATCGTTTAATGCATCGTTAATTTAATGCAATAAAGTACATCGTTTAATGCATCGTTAATTTAATGCAATAAAGTACACTCTTTTCCTTTTAAAAAATTCCAATTAGGTTGTAGAGACATTAAGAATTTTTTTGAGCAAGAAAGATTGAAAAATTAGCAACGTCTTCGCCGGGAATCGAACCGCGGACATCTGGCTTACGCGCCCAGTGTGCAGACCACCACACCACGAAGGCATACCAAAAATCGGGAGAAATACCTTATATACTCCCTCTTTTTAAAGGGCGGCTGGGGTTTTTAGGAGACCCAATCGCCAAACACTGTGTGAGGAGAAACATCATCCACAACCTTTTTAGTTCGGGCGCCATTGTAGATACATTTCGAGGCCGGATAGATGAAAAATGAGCAACGCCTTACCCGGGAATCGAACCACGGACCTCTGGAATACGCGCCCAGCGGGCAGACCACCACACCACGAAGGCATGCCGAGATGGCGGGAGAATTACCTTATAAGGTATGATTAACATTTTCTAAAATATATACCTTATTTATTAGTGTGTTTTTTCCCTTCACATATCCTTTCCCTAGGTAGGTGCTGAAAATTTAAAAAATATTCACGCAATGTTTCCAGTTCTCGAGGCGTTCACAAAGAAAATTCCAAAAATTTTAGCATGGCCGAAATTCAAATTCCCTAACGAAATCACAATTAGAGTATACAAACAAAGCTGTATACCGTCCAATTTAATGAAAACTTGCTCGAAATTGCGTGAACTAGACGGAATGTAATCTTTTACATAAGTTATCACTGCTAGTATTAGATAACTTCCGTGGACATTTCACGGAAGAAGTAAAAAACAAATGAATATAACAAACAGAGAAAGTCTATGTAAAGAAGTAAAGGCTCCGTAGGCGTAATGTAAACCAGTTTGTCTTCTACCCCGCTAGAAAGAAGAGGGAAAATTCGCCAAGGGATTTGGCGACGGAACCTGTTGGCGAGAGGTTCCCCGTCTCTGATGTACCGGACCTGGCCGACATTTTCCTCCTCCGCGACATGTACAGGAAATTGAGTAACACGGATTAAGATGAATAAAGAAAATTAGGTGAAGTTTCACTTTCACTGGCTGTCGAACTTGCATTATCCATATCGCAGTTTGATGTCTGATTTTATATCCGTCAATATGGAGAAGGGGAAAAAATGGAGTCGCACAGCTTTAAACTCTTGATAAACGTGACCTTCGAACCTGTTCGAACTTCGACATCAGCTTTGGCGCTTTTTTGGCGACAGATATTTCACGCATGCGCAGCTGTTTCCCTTTTCGTTCGAAGGGAGCCACTCCTGCTGCTGCGAAGTTTTCCTTCTTAACAATACATATTCTTTGGAATAAACATTATTATTGTCATCATTTCACTAGGACATACATCATTTCTGCAACCAATGCACGTATTAGTAAAAACAATCGCCGAAATTTTTATAACAAGTAGGTATTATTAATAAGGCACACACTTTTGCTAGAATCGGAGACAAATAATCTACTTTCCACTGAGCTGATTTGCTCTTGGATTTTGCGCGCATGGGTTCTGACTCATGTAATGTAGAACTTCACGAAAATGAGGATATCTTCATAATTCAGAAGAACATTGCATGTCAGAAGACAGACTGAATGGTGACGAAGAAGATGACAACAATGATGATGGCCATTGTTTGCAAGTTAAAGCAGTGTTGAATGATTTCAGGCAAAAGGAGTAACAGTAGACAAACCAGTGGGCGAGATTCAAGATACACGGAAGTAAAAGTGAAGATATCTTATATATTGTTAGTATTAGAATATATAAGATATCTTCACTTTACTTCCGTGTATCTTGTAATATATATAATTATTAAATATTGTTAGTATTAGATTAATTAGTTAAATATGATTATTACTATATACTTTTAGGGGAAGTTCTCTTAAATATATATTCGATAATACTGCAGCATTTAACGGACAGATTCATGGAAAAAGTATTCATATACTTTTTATTTGCTATGCTGTTACTTTAATCACGTCCTTCGGAAATAAAATTACTCACGTAAATTTTCCCTATCGAATTTTATTTGATAAAATTAGTAAAATTACTTACCCAATGGATTTTCATTTGATAAAATTAGTTAAAAAAATGGAGGTTATGCAAGTAAATACGGTGTTCAACTTTTAAATGCGTGAGGTCATAAATATTTCATTATTTGAAACATTACATAGCCCTTAAAAGTATTCAACAGTTGAAAAATTGCTGAAAATATTTGTGACAGTAAATACTTATTGCAAAAAGCCGGGTGAAAAGAAATAGACTGCAAAGAAAAAAATATGTTCCACCTATCCTGTAGCCGAAGTTGCTCAAAAAACATCTTCCCAAATTTAGAGGAGAGAAACTACTTCATATAACTTATCGTTACAGTACCAAGCCACAGTAAACATTCTTCCTCCTTCCCCCCCCCCAACCACAACAGTATAAAGAAAGTATCACACTGTTATGCCTTGGCAGCTCCCTTCCCACAATGCAGCGGTGCATGGCGGCGGTACATCATCGAGTAAACGTCCTCCCGCCACGGAATATAACCATAACCGTGACTCCAAACTGAAAGGTGGGAGGAAAAGACCATCGAAAGCTTTTTCATGTCCCTTTTCATGCTCAGACGAAGCGGGCACGTGTCGTAGAGTTTTTCTGATCTTTCGCATAAATTATGAATATCATAAAGGGATTAAAGTCTCACCTTTCCAAGTTGGGCTCTCAGCCGCTGTTGAACGATGAAAGAAACTGCACCTGAAAGAAGATAAAATAAAATTTATGAACTAAACAAAGGAATGCTAAAATATTAAGAAAATGATGTTACAAATAATGAAATCTGAATGTGAACTTAAGCATACCTATTTTATATTTATATATTATCGAGGGAAATTTATATACTGTCTGAAAGATAGTTGGAGTAAAACAAAATATCTTCATTTTGGTGACGTTATTTGATAACAGGTATCAAACTTTTCTAATGCGCTGGTTTAAATAAATGAAACTGCATTCTTCCTGATGATTTAAATAAGCGGAAAAATGTCTCTGATCTTAATTTATATAAATATAACTCCATTGCAATTCCCTGAAAAAAAGTCTGATGTAGAGACCTCATCACATCCTTGCACGACCTATTAAACTATACACATTTTTTTTTCTGCGCGTCATTTAAACTTATTTCAGGGAATCATTCAAACATTAATAACCGAGCTCTCAAGGTAAGCTGAAAATGACATCAAAAAATGCTAATTTTAAAATTAAAGATCGAGATTAATTTTTGTCGTACCGAAGTGAAACATTTTTATTTTTTCACGACGAATGAACCGGGAGACTGTATTAAACATTATATTTCGTTATTTATCAAAAACTAAATTTCTTTTAAATTTTTACATTGTCAAAACTCGAATATTTTCGTTACTTAAAACACTTTTGAAATTGGAAGTATAATGAGTACGACAAGCAACTGCGAAAATAAAGGCGCGTAAGCATTTCTGAGCCCAGTAAAAGAGTGGGTATATATATATATATATATGCGATGTATCAGCTTTAGTCGTAGACGATAAGTTTCAGACGATAAGTTTACGATAAATAATCAGACGATAAATAATCAGACGATAAATAATCAGACGATAAGTTTAAAAACAGGATCCATTTATTTTTATTCAGGAGAAATAGCAGTTACAAAAATCAGATATCCGGAGTAAATAAAAAGAATTACTAATAACTTTTTGTATGAAGTTTACAGCATCGTGTCATTTATGAAAAAGCCCCGATATTCTTTTGTGAATCTTTTATAGCCTCTGGAAAGGCGGAGCTTCCAAGAAATGACGTCGGCCTCGTCAGCCAATCCAGTTCGCTTTAAATACTTCCAAAACATTCTATAACTGCCCGTGTAGAAAAGGCGGGAAAAACAACTTGACTACGGGGCTGTGGATTTAATTCCACGTACTTTCAAATAAGAGAACGTCGCCATTAAAAATGAAAAGAACATACAGTTAGAATTTTAATTGTATTCTTGACCATGGAATTTTATTATTATATATATATATATTAGAATATTAGAAAACATAAAATTCTCACGCCGAATGTACAAGAATGTAATGCAATATTCGTTCTTTCACCGACGTATTTGGTGAATGCTGACATTCTTCGGTGATGGCCGACATTCTCCAGTTTCGGTCTTTCACGGTAACATACTAACTATTAACTGTTATTAATGAAAAAGCATACTATTTTATATTAATAAATATGTTACGTTATTTTGCGTAAGTCTGTTTGAAGTGCTGTTGAGTATTATAGGTTACCTTACAACCTGTTGATATGTATATTAAGTGCATTAAATAAAATGTATGTTTTTCCATAACTACAAGGTGTTAACATGAAAAAGTGCATGTTTTCTTTAAAAGCTTTTTTTTTTTCCACAAGAAAATATTCATTGTAGACCCGCACACACACCTAAACAGATAGTTTCATTATATAACAGAGAAAAAATTAGAACATTAACTTAGAAAAAATACTTCTATAATAAAATAAATAATTAGATAGAAATAAATAAATAATTACAAGATAGATAGAAATAATCTAGAAATAAATAAATAATTACATAAACAACCAGCCAGCTGTTGTTGTGTTGCAGCTAACTGCCAATATAACATGATATCTAAATTACAGGCATAAAATAATTCAAAAAATTTCAGCATATACATTATTTAAAAAAAATAATTCCTCTAAGATATTTTCTTTAAATACAAATAACGAAAAAAGGGTGTATGAATACTAAAAAAAAAAATAAAAATGAATAGTCACGAATAACTTCAAATTTCTGTCAAGAGAACAAAAATTAAACATTTCTTTCATTTCCCCAGCAAATATTCGAATACGCCGAGCAGACCGCCTTAGTCTGAAAACTTAGAATACTTTTTTTTTTATAGTATTTATATCTAGCTACCGCCTTTTACATGTTTCCGAATTTTGACATGACAGCTATACATTAGGATAGCTGTTTCTGAGGGTGCCAAGGGAGAGGGAGGGGGGAAAGCTTCCATTTCATCCTCTTTTTCCATTTCTTGCTCATTGTTCCTGCGACTGTGTGAAGAAAAATCGATTCAAAATGTTCTGTTATGACAGATGTGCAGTACAGAGCAAGATATTACTCGCCAATCGGAAAGATTTCAAATTTTGACATTGTTATTTAATAAGGAAAGGTTTCTCTTCAGATTGTTAGCAGGAAATCGAAGTAACTTTTTAGCAGGAATGTACGGGGGGGGGTTATTATAGAGCACACGAAAAGAAATAACGAGAGATTACAAATTACTGTGAAAAAATTTAAAATATAAGCAGCTTTCTTTGAAAATGGTGAAAGTCCATTTTTGACAAAAAGTTAGTTAACGACAACAATGAATGCCATCTGCTGTGAGTTTTCTATCTATGAACAATTCTCCCCAAAAATTCTTCGTAATTTGCAACATTTTGTCAATATAAATTTACATTAAGATACAATAACACGCCGAATAAGTACTAATTCAGAAGTCAAACAACAAAAATCAGCGTTAATTTTCAAAATTTTTACAGGACTAGTTTCGATGGTTTTACCGAACCACCATCCTCAGCTGCAAAACCGCAAATGATTTAAAACTAAATTATTTAAAAGCAATAGCTATTGACAGGGGCTTTTCACCCAACATTATTAATGAAGCAGTTAAAAAATTCTCATCTCAACACACTAAAAGGCACACTCTTGTTTTAGGAGATTATAAAAATTCTGTTGTCATTCCCTTCTTTCCATCAATTAGCTATAAAGTTGCACATATTTTGCAGAAATTTAACTTTCGGGTTGTTTATTCTAACATCAATAAAATGCCGGGTTCCATACTCAAGGACCCCATTCCGGATATGAATTCTTGGGGTATTTATAGGATTCCTTGCCAGTGTGGTTTAATTTACATTGGCCAAACTAAGAGAGCCTTAAAATTTCGCGTCAAGGAACACGAGGCATATGTTAGAAAAAGGGAAACACAGAAGTCTTCTGTTGCTCAACATTGTTGGTCCGAAAAATCATACTTTCAATTTTTCTGCTGCCAAAATTATTCAAAAAACATCTTCCATTGGAGAACTGGATTTTCTAGAGGCATTTCACATTCAAAAAAATCTTTCTGTTCTAGTTAACGATCCAAATTCCAATCCATCTTTGCCTTCGGAATTTAGAGAAATTATGTTTTAGTTCTGGTTTCCCCAACAGATGGCACCACTTGCTTATTCTTGTCCAGGCTTTCTTATCTTATCTAATCATTATTTTCCTATCTGGTTCATTTGCGATTTTGCAGCTGAGGATGGTGGTTCGGTAAAACCATCGAAACTAGTCCTGTGAAAACTTTGTAAATATAACGCTGATTTTTGTTGTTTGATTTCTGAATTAGTATTTATTCGGCGTGTTATTGTGTCTTAATTATATTCTATCGTTTTCGACATTTTTATAACTTACCCGACTGAGGTTGATGGCATTTAACATTAGCAGGTTTCATCTTTTTCTTTAGTTCACGGGTATAAGTCATGAAGTATGTCGGTGTAATGGTCAGCACGCTCGGCGCGTATTCGAGAGGTTCGAGTCTCGGTGAGGGCGTTGCACATTTTTCATGTCTCCTGCTTCGAAATAACTAAATGTCTCTACAACATGCTGGATCTATTACCTCATATTCCTCCATGCTGGGTCTACTACCTCATGGCATCATGATAATTTTCTAAAACTTTTTCATAATGGTAAAAATTACAAATGACACGTATTAATATAAAGTTGTAATTAAAAGTAATTTAAATGGCAGAAAGAAGTATTGAAATAAAACCTTTTTAGTTTACTTTTTTTGACATGTTAAATAAAGGATTGGATTATTATGGTAAAGCACACAAGGGCTATCTGAATAAAAGGAGGGCTGGCTCGTATACACGTTACACATGGGGAAAACCACGGAAACGCCCAACCAGCCAGCCCGTTCGAGGGATTCGAACATCGGACCGAACTACCAGTGTTCAGCGTCTTTACCGCTCGGCCGCTGGTGGACCCGACATATTAAATAAAATTTCATAACAAAATTGGTTTGTTTCAATTGAAATCTCATAATTAATATTTCATAAATGTATCATTTTATCGACTATGAAAATGGTGTAAGTCCATTTGTGGTCATCAAAAGTATAAATTTCTTTTACTAATAGTTTAAAAATGATCACATTATAAATTTAAATTAATTTAACATTTAAAAAAACGAAAAATGAGCGTATTAACTTAAGCCAATATTTTCCAACCATTCAAATAAAAACCCTTAAATATCTCCAGATAATATAAAATTGACTTACACTACTTTCAGAGAAACTGCTCATATACGAGCAAATTAGAAGCAAACATACAGCTTGTATGCTACGTTAGGAAAATATTAATGGACATCAGATCTCGGACAAAACGTTCTGGAAGGAAAACGTTACCCTCGAATTTGGGTAATGTTTCCTTCCAGAACTACTGCTACAGCTTTGCCGCTTGTTGATGGCTCCTAGAGGTCCTCCAAACTGTCCTTTAGTGATTGTCGAATGGAATGCGAGTGGTTTTTCCCAAGACTCTTGTTCCTGACCATCCGTGAACAGTTGCGGTTGCATCTTTTAGACTATTGACGGGACATGACTGCCTACAGAATCATATATTTCACATTGGACTAGCTGATTTGCCGTTGTGTATTTTATGTAATAATGGACGGCCAATGACGGCGAAACAT